CTGATAAATCCTGCAATTACATTAGTAGGAGCTAGGTGGGTAAGAGTACCAAGATTGCTCTAATAAATCATGACTTATATTTGTACAAATAAAAGATTGCTATGCTTCCTTGCTACTGACTGAAAACTGATGACTAAGTGGAAATGGAATAACCCCTAATTTCGATTCAACTTTCTTATCTTAGCCTATCATTGGCTTAGATAAAGATTAGACATCCAGAAAATTTGGGTAAATCTGTTATTTTTTTCTGTCAAAATGCTTTTTTTCACAAATTAGTTCACTAAAACAGCAAAAGTATTTATTCCTTTTAAGACAGAAACTTTCACGACACAATTAATGTTTTCTTTAGCTCAGACTGAGGTGAAAAATTGTTTCAGTCTGGAGAGTCCTTGTTCTACAAATACACATGTAAGTCTCTCAGTGTTGTTAGACATTACAAACATAAAATAGAAAAGATATGTTTTGAGTAGAGGCAAGAGAAACAAAAGATAAAACAGCCTTATTATCACATCAGTTCAATTTGCAGCAAAGGTATATGTTGAGTCTCTCTAAAATCTCCCTTTATTACCTGCTATTCACCTTGGATATTTTCTACTGAGTAGTTATAATTTAAAAAGCCCCTTCAGGGCTCTTGTGCTTCTCAAAAGGATGTGTAAAAGAGTATGTCTCTGAAAATAAATATCTGCAACCAGCATCTTACCTTAGACTATGGGTCAATATACACTCACTTGGTATTCAGAGACTGCATCTAATTTAGACCTGAAGGCGACACAGGTGAGTAATATTTGCAGCAACAGAACACGATTCAAGCTACAGAGGAACTAATTTATTAGTTAAAAAGGGCATCAGCTGGAGAACTACAGCATCTCTTGTAGTCTTGGTACTATAATCTTTCCTTTTCCTAAGGATCCAATAAAGAAATTCCATGTGTCTTTCATGAAAAAGAACAAAAGTACAAGCCTTAGACCATTTAACTTGTTTTGATAAGATACCTGTAATAAGATACCTGTATAAGCCCTGGCTTATATGCACAAATGAAGAAAAATTCTCAAGTTAAAGGAATTATCCTGGTATAAAAATGTGCACAAAAATGGAAAAAAAAATATTAGGCATAATAATTAAGGTATTATAAAATAGAAGGCTATGAACTATTAACCAAGAATAATCAAAGGGACGTTATGATTTAGAACTTGATGTGATAGTTATACCAGAATTTCAGACAGAAGCTGCTATGCATATCTTTATTTTAAAATCTTTATTTATGATTAGGTGAGGGGATGGAGTGTACTCTCAGCAAGTTTGCAGACAACACCATGTTGGGTGGGAGGTGAGGCACTACAGAGGGATCTGTACAGACTGGATTAATGGGCTGAGGCCATGGATGAGGTTCAAAGATCATGTGTTGGGTCCTGCACTTGGGTCACAAGAATCCCATGTAGAGCTACAGAGTGGGGAAAGAATGTCTGGAAAACTGCCTGGAGGAAAAGAGTCCAGCAGTGCTGGTTAACAGCAGCTGAACATGAGCTGGGGTGTGCCCAGGTGGCCAAAGAAGGACAATGGCATCCTGGCTTGTATCAGAAACTGTGGCCAGCAGTACCAGGGCAGTGTTCATCCTTTTGCACTTGGCATTAGTGAGGCTGCACCTCAAATCCTGTGTTCAGGCTTGGGCTCCTCACTATGAGAAAGGTTACAGCTCATTTCCTCAGCCCACAGCAGCAATGAGGGACTTGCACCATTCATTTTTGAGCAAGCAGGTGTCTAATCCTTTGCTCACCAGAGAAGGATGAAATCACCCTTGGTAAAGTTCACAGACTCATTATTTCCTCAGAATAATTCCTATTTGTCCTGTCTCTTTGTCCTATTTGGAAAGGAAGTGGATATGCACAAATATTCTGTAACTCACACATGTGCATAAAAGGGTGAAAAACTTTTGAGAAGAGTTAATAGTGTGGATGTGTTCCCACAACAAAGAACATAACTTGCAGTTTTGTCCTAGAACAACTTCAATATTTTCTCAACTCCAGCCTGAAGCAATTTACAAAATAATCATTGTGAAGCAGACTCCTGTACCCTATACTGACCTGTCTCTGTCCTGAGGGCAGGAAAACATGCTATTCCCATGAAGACATAATATTACTTCAAGAAACTACACTGTACTTCACAATAATAGCAATAAATTTCCCAAGCATATTTTTTTGTCTTCCTTTACGATCTCTACCCCACAACTTTTTAGAGTGTGTTGCACTTTATGAAACAGGAAGATTGGAAATCACACAGCTCATGAAATCCTCTTCCGTCAAGTTGCAGTATCCATGGCACCACCATTACATATCACTGACCACTACACACTTCAGAGTTGATGGATGAGACCAATAACAGGCCAATAATAATGACCCACAGGAAGCTGGAAAGACTTAGGGTAATACCAATGTTTTAGATTTGTACATCTAGTTTGAGGAATTTGCTAAACAAAATGCTTTGTTATATACTTACTGAGCCTAATGTTTTGTGGCTCCACCTCAGAGGAAACATTTAGACAGGATATGCAGTGAACTGTATGGCACTCTAAAAAAGCTATAAGAATTTACGGGTTCAATTTTAAATTTCAGATACATACATGTGAATGGTTTCTGACTCTGATAAAAGAGCTGCATCATATTGAATGGCATTAGTCCACAAAAGGCAGGAGCTAATGTAAACGGTTAAGTTGACCATACCACGAAAGAGCTAATGTACATTATTAACACAATCTAAATGAAGTTACGCTTTCTTTTGTGAGGTGATGAGTACTAGAGTGTATAGTAGTATCAGGCATATACCATGGGATAATATTTTTCAAATATTCCTTTGTTCAAATAACTTTCCTTATCTGGTTTTCATCCAGCCCTCATATTACTAATTTATTCTAATTCAATTTAATAGAAAATTCAGCTATGTTAAACAAGTTTATTTCTACATCTGTAACAGGATTTTCTTGTCCCTTTCCAAAACTTGACTGCTGACATAAATTCATTAGTATTATTTGTTTCAAAATGCAAAGCTCTGGGACAGAGAAAAAAGTAATTTTCATCAAGAAGTTTCACAATAATGCACTATTTGTGCCTAAGATGTTCTGGGTCAAAATCCCAAGTAAATTTTCTCAGTCATCTACTCATTAATGTGCGGTGACTGTTAATGTCTACTACCAATTAGAATAATTCATAGAACCAATTTCTTTAATGAGAAGTACCACTTTTACAAATTCATTATTTTTGCCAAACCGTACCAATAGCAACTGTATTTCACATATAAAAAAGAGCAAATTAGGAAGGAAAAAAGAAAATCCCACCTTGCTTATTCTTTGTATTCCTTGATATATTAGGAACTGAGGTATGAATATGCTATCAGGAGAATGTGCAGAAAAATCAAAGTATTTTAGGATTAAACAGCTGAAACTTAATATTGAGTAAATAATTTCAGTTATTATTAAAATATTCAAACAGTTCAAGTAATTATTGGTCACTTAATTTCCTTTGCAACAAATTCACTTCCCTGCTACAGAAAGCACAAAAGTACGCAGAGTAGTGCAAGTGCATTTCCTTGTACAAAATGCTTGGCATATTACAGATGCCACGAGAAATACTTAAAGAGTCTAGCAACAGTAATCATAGTAATAACAGATCTATTGCCTTAGGAAAACACAGTTTAAAAAATCTGGTCAGACCAGTGTGCAAGAAGATGTAAGTAATGCACTGATGGCATTACATGGCCTATTGCTTGGAGAACACCGCTCCAGGGAATGTCTTCTATTAATGCCATCCCACAGACTGACTTTGCTGCCTTGCTTTTATCACTTGAGTTCTTTTATTTCACTCATCTATATGACTTTTCCTAATGAAGTTTGAAAGCAGTCTCCCCTTGAATACAATTGAAATTATTTAATCTGTTTTTTTCTTGAACCCAAAAGGTAGTAGTTAAAATATAAAACTTAAAATTACTGTTCAACAACTATGATAAAAGAACAGTCCATGTAACACAAATGCTTCAATTTCTGCAAACAATCAGAAAAATAGATTTCCACAGCCTGCAACACTGAAAATGAACAAGTCTTATTGATTCTTTATGGCTTGTTACAGCCAAAACACTGGCTACACTTCACCTTTTCCTGACGTAGCCATTACACACTTGGTGTTGGATATGAGCTATACAGTTCAGAGCTGTAGTGAAAGACTTCTGAATCCTACCAAACATCTTGCTGTACTGCACATTACTACTGTATATATATGACTGTAAGTCTAAGAATGGACTCCAGGGCTTATCATTGACAGCCTACATAGGTAATTAAAAATAGTTTCCAGAGGTAAAATTTGCATTATGTAACAACTAGGTTTTACTTAAGCATTCATGACAAAGCACTAGAAGGGAAAAATATGACTTTTTTTTTCTTTTGTTTATTTAGAATTCAGATGAACAATGTTTACAGTATTATGTGGGGAAACCTGCAATCTTAGTTTTTAATAATATACTTCTCTAAATAACACTGCTACAGTTTGATTTGCCATGATTTCAAGGACAAATAAAAGCTATTCTGTTGCTTCGGTATAACATCTGACACATCTGTGGGCTGGGTATCATTTTAGACTCATTACATGAAAGATAACCTCATCTATTAGACAAGCCCTGTTATACTACAGTAAATTTACTAAAGTAGATTTTATGAAAAAATAGTAATTTTTTCTTCACAAGAGTAATCATGTTCACTACAGTGGAATTACAAATAAGTATAAAGTTTTCAGAAGTGATCAGTTTAATAAATAAGCAGTTTATAGGGCTAAATATTTTGTAGCACCTAGGTAGCATATCATACGTTAAACATTCTGTCAGTTCCAAAATCCTGGAAATATGCTGAGATGGAACATGGGCAAACAAACTCACTAGTCCTGCAGGCACCATCAGCAGGTGGTATTTCAAACAGAAGGGAAAGAGAAAGCAGCACTTCAATGGTATTAACAACTCCTTACCTAGTGGCTGCCCTGCAATGATCCTGGCATTCTCTCCTGCCACCGCGGCCCTGGCGTGCCTCTCGCTCATGTACTGTACGAAGGCATAACCTTTGTGCACCGAGCAGCCCACGATCTTCCCGTACTTTGCAAAGATTGCTTCGATGTCACCTTTTTTGACAATAGCTGTGTTCAGATTACCGATGAAGACTCTGGAGTTGATGGACTTTGGGTCGTTCTTATTGGTGACATTGCTCGTCTGTGTTTTGCCAGTCATGGTTGGATCACTTGGCTTTAAACCTTAAATAAAGAACAAAGAGAATTATGTTTCTTAGCATACAGTTACCCTGACTTTGGATGATTTTTCCAGCAATAATTCACTTTTAATTTTTCACTTTGGGTGAATCTCGACTCAGAAGAATCAAACTATCAATAAAATCAACATGGCACATTTTAAAATACTGCTCAAAAGTAAAATCTAAACTTCTTATTTTTATAGATGTGGAATATACCAATACATCACTTAATATAATGCTGTGATAGCAAAGCTTTACTGTAATCATATGTGGATTTCTGCTTAGAAATTCAATATTGACTTTTTAAGTACTTAGCCATCTAGAAACTGCAAAGCAAGAGAATGAATCATTATCTACTGTCAAAGAAATGAACATTCAAGGCCACGTAGAGAGCAAACTCTTAAAATGAAAAACAACTCTGCTTTTGTTTGGTGTCAGTTAGAGCACATTTCTCACCAGTTAAATATCGCTGTGAGGTGTGCAAGGCAGGTAACATACAATTCTTTACTGCAATCAATATGTTTCTATCAGAACAATTTTCCCTGTAAATTCAGTACCAAAAAAAAAAGTGAGAAAAGACAGCAGCTTATGCTCTGAGAATTAAAAAGTGGAAAAATAAACCACTTTAACTCTAGGAACACAGATTTTCTTGCTTCTTTGCTCTTTTATCTGAGGTCACAGGTGGAAATGCATCCCAGTAAATCTCTGATGGGAATAACCACATTATTTCTGGGAAAGATTTGGTAAAAGAAGAAAAAAACCCAACAGTTCTTGTGTTCATCTCACCTCACCCCTCTGAAGTGCATGTGATTTTCATAATTCCTATGCAAATTCTGCCTTCAAGCAGGTCTGTCTATTTACATATTTACGTCAATTTACTTAGATGGAAATGAAATAAAAGAAATTGTCCCACATCTGCACTGCATTCTCTTTAGCTTTAGTAGACCACAGAAATGTAAAAAATATGCATATCTTTAAGTAGAGAAAACTTATTTTGTAAGAAAAAGGTCATTTATGCAGCAGTAAAATATAGGCCATGTCTTACAGCCAAGAACTATGCTACTATTTTTTAACCTGTTCATAATTTTGATTAGATCCGAGTAACAACTCAGGCAAGAAGAGAATCCAGTTATATACTTTTCACAGTTAAAACTCAGTTCATTTCTCAGAATGAAAAGGTATAATAGCTTCTATTCTGAACATCTAAATCGGAAGTTTTGTATTTTAAATCAGTAGCTACCATACATGAAGCTAGAAAAAGGAACCATTGTCACTAAACTCCACAGAATACCTGCTGAACAAAACTGGCAGAGTCACAGCCATCAGCACTTTGACTGCCTCCATCCCAGAGAACCCAAACCCCACTTTCCAGCCAAGAGCATACAAGAGAGATGTATGGGCAGTCCTCCTAAATCTCAGCAAACAGCCTGCTTTATTAAATGAATGTATGCAGCAGAGCTGCCAGTCAAATAGCTTTCACTTGATTAACAACTCAGCATGGCAACTTTATGTTATAGTATTTGGAGAAAGCACTGAAGAAAATAAGATAAAGGGTGTTTTCCTCTAAGTTTATTTATTTTTAAATACATTGTGGAAACATAACATACTGTATGCATGTACACATTTCATCCTGGAAAACCAGGAAAACTGCCTTGAACACAAACCTCTGACCTTTATCATAAGACAAATTCAATACTGTATATTTCTAGATTGCTGTGCAGATTGTGCATGTTTGAAGTCATGTCTGTATATAGCTAACCTGAATATTGAGAATATTCAAAGTAGTATGCTTAGTACTGTAATATTATCAAGACAAACCATTTACAAAATGTGAATATAATGGACACGAAGATCGACATTGGCATAAAGTAGACTGCTGATGTTTTCTGGGACCCAGGAAGTTTAACCCTATCTTACATACACCTGTACTACACCTGTACAGGAGTCAAAATGACAGTAGCACAGCCATGTTAGCTTTAAGAGCTCTACTGACCCAAACTGAAGAGGTAACACGGCAGAATAACAAGGTATAAGAGTAACAAGGTATAAGAATAACAAGGTTAGTGCAGTTGCTGATGGACAGGGAACATCTGGTATCCCCTGTGCTGCTGAGTTACACAGCACTTCAAATACCGCTCTATTGGGAAAACTTACCATGGAGAGTATTGTGTTTATCTTTGTGAAGATCCAGGGAAAAAAAGCTGTATCTGTGCTTATACAATTCTTAGCATCTTATCTATCTAGTATCTGATACCATCTACATTGATTGAGCTGGTAGCTGGTTATTTTAGTAAACACATAGAGGTAGTTTACCACAAGTATGACTGGCTTAGGAAGCAGTAGCCTGGAAGGGTACACTTGTCTCTTCCACTGCTGCATGATTCTTCAGTAAGATGGTTTTACTGCCTCTGTTTCCACTTTTTAATCTTCAGACCAGCATTTTTTTGACTAAGTGCTATCTATGTTTTAATGTTTTTTATATAAGTTCTAACACAACAATGTGACATCTGTTGGAATGTTTAAGCATGACCAACAGACCATTAAAAAATCCATGGAGAAAAAAAATCTACAGAAAATCTGCCAGAAGTCAAGATTCCCATGAAAAGTATATGGAACAAAACAGTTTATTTATCACTACCAACATTTTCTACCACACACATTACCACCACAATGTTTTCTAAACACTCTACTACACTCTGTATTTCCTCTGTTGTTTAGCCATTTAACATGGGATTTGGTGAACCATTGTTATTTCATAAAAATCCTCAGTTTTGCCCAGTTTTTCTATGTACTAATTTAAATAGACTTTGAATAGGACATTGAATATTTCTCTGTTGTAGTTGTTCTTTGCAATGCAAATTTAAATATTTTTATAACACAAAGAAAAGTAGTTGTCTGGTGGGTTCTCTCATATTCAAATGAGCAGTCAGGAAAACGTGCTGCAGAAATTCAAAGGGTGTGAATAATACTAACAATTTGATTGCCTTGCTGGTCACAATACAACTGTGAATATTTCATAAAAATCAAAGATCTGTGGGATCTTCATTACAATGTGAAAAAATTCATAGCAACTTCTACACCTCACTTCCAATATATATCTGTGAATACTGAATTATACCCATATTCTCTGAGCTATCAGTAAAATCACAAACATTGTACCTCATACAAATACAGAAATAAATGAAATAATGAGAGAAACACATCTGAAATAATCTCATTTCCTTGCAGTCTTTAATAAGGTATCTTGCTAATTTCCTATTATTGAAGTGATCCTTTCTGGTAATAAATACCTCCTATATGCTGAGCATATCCTTTAAAAAATGGTTTACAAATTACATTTAGCTGTCAGTGCACTTTATATTTATTCAATGCACTTCATTACATACAGCATTGTTCTACGCCGTAGCTGATTTAATTATTCTACCAAGAAGTAACTAGTTCATCTTGGTATAGTTAAAAAAAAAGTAATAAATTAGGCCATTTCTTTTACTACCCAGATCTCTAAAATTCTTTCTTAAACATTAACATTTCTAATATGTCAAACTGGAATGAAAACACAATTTCCTAAAATGAAATTCCTATCATCCGGGACGTACAAGTGAAAAGTTTAAATCAGTCAATTTGAAGTGCAAAAGAAGGGAGTAGAATTCAAGTCTTGGCTTCCTTCACTTTTCCAGCATTTTCTGTCAAAGTTTGTCTAAGCACCAGCAGGACACTACATTTCTTTGTGGCTGTGAAACTCATCATCTTTCCATAAAGAGTGCATATGTGAAGGCACAGCTCCATGCCACAGCTGCTTCCCCTCTGGGGTTGTGCCTGGCACCAAGTGAAAACCACAATCCCTTTCCAGTTGTGCCATGGCCCAGTGCAGGGAAAACACAAAACTTGAATCAAAGAGAAAGAGAACAACTTGTCAAACTCTACATTCCAGTAACTCCCAAGCTTTTCTTTTAGGGAGTAGGGTCAAGGCATGATCATAAAAGTCCTGTTGGACTTCTGCTCCCTGCGCTGCTTTATGCACTTTAACAATGATTCCTCACACAGTAAAATGCAAAATATGCTTTTGAACTGACAGTGAGTTGGTAAAAATGAAAGAAAAAATTAAAGATATATAAAAGTTTGAGGGTATAAGTTAAAGGAATTGTGAAAGCAATTCATTTCAGCATTTTCCCAATTGTACAACTGTTTCTTATTTTAAAATACTGAAAGGAACCCACGACTTCTAATTAAAATTTCTACCAAACACTGAAATATTGTCTCTGGAATTGTCCTTATGCATTTTTCTATGCTGAATTAACCAACAAGGCAAACCTGTAACAACCCCGTTATAATTAGAAAAATAAGATAAATCTCTTTAGAAGAATAGGAAATATTTCTATTGATGACTTGGATTTTCTCTCTTATCATTTTCTCTTATTTTCATTTTTTCCTAAGATCTATACCTAATTTTGCTTTAAAAAATTGTCTTCATTAAATTTAGTAATACTTTCAGGAGTTTCTATGTATTTATGTTCTTTCATCTTAGAGCTGTTTCTTTCCTTTCAACAATAAAACCTTTTAACTAAATAGAGAAAAGTCTACAGATTTGAATAAACTAAGTATTACTTGCAGTGTCTTTAGGAAAAAATAGGGTCTACTGAGGAAAAACTGAAATACTAAAATTGAAAATCTTTAAGGAAAAAAAATCCTCTCTGAAAATTAAATAAAAGAGTGTTACTTTTATAGAGATTTAATGTCAAACTTTCATGTATTTATATTTTGTTACAAAGGAAACAGGAAAAAATCAAATTCATTTCCCTTCTCCCACCACCCCCGCTCCGAAACAAAAAAAAAATTGTTTTGAGATCATGTTTAGAGCTGGGCCAGTAAGTAATCAACAGCCTGTACTAGATGTGTGTGATAGCAAAAGAGTAATTCTGTGGAGAAACATTTTTAAATATGAAAATTTCCATCACTGAAAAGTTACTTTAAACACCATTAAATTCCAAATCTTAATTTTGCTAT